CCCCCCCCCCCCCACCCTCCCACTAGTATTGCCATCAATCCCCCACACGTCATTAGAACTGCATATTCTGTTTCTGTTTAACAAACTTTACAATGGTCGTTGCTACATGTTCTTCCACTCCTTCTGTAGACACTATTTATGGGGAGCTTAGACACGCTTTCATCTATTTTCATAGACATGAAACTTAACTATGACATGAAAAATACATACGGTTTACTCTGTTTACATGGCGAAGGACTGTGGATTGCTTTTCACAGTGGTGTACTCTGTGCTTGATTAGTGATAACCAATTTATTGACAATAAATCACTTATGTTGAGAATGAACTAAATCCACAAACACTAATGCAGAACAAGGAGAGATCCATAGCTTTGAAAACTATGGAGGATGGACAAGTCATGCTTTATTCTGTAAGTTTATCCTTAGTTTTATTTACTATTGTTAGCTAGTAGTTCATATTATTATTATTATTTGACTGGTTTAGTGAATTTTTGTAGAGCTCTGTTAATGGAAAGGAAGCTAAAATTCCTTATCCGTGGTTAGTTTTTAACGAGAAAGTGAAGGTGAACTCTGTCTTCCTTAGGGATTCAACCGCAATTTCTGACTCGGTATTACTGCTATTTGGAGGGAATATTTGCAGGGGTGGACTTGTATGTTTACTTTCCTCTGTGATTTATCAAATGGCTTTATGGGCATATTTTCAAATGCTTTTATATTTACTTCTTTGGCAGGATGGACATTTAAAAATGTTAGGTGGCTACCTTGAATTCTTCATGAAGCCAGATTTGGCATATACCTTTGTAACTCTTAAGAAAGAGCTGGAGGAGCTGATTCTGAACAAGGTAAGAATTTTTTATCTTTTTTGAATTTTTAATTTTTATTTCCTTGTTTTATGTGCCGAATTGATCTCTTAATGAAGAGCTCTTTCACATGTACACATCTAAGGAAACTAGTCATATGCTAAAGTGATCTAGTATTTCATGACGTCAGGGCTGAAGTGAAAATAAGGCTTGATATCCTTGTTAAATAAAGAGGCTTTTCTCATGAAAAATTTGTAGTTTCGAAATTTCGTTAGCAATTGTCTGTTTCAACTTTCCTGTCTGTTATGACATCTTAAATTTAGAACACTGAACTATATATATTTACCTACCAATTAGGCGGACTTCTGTTGTCTGACATTTGATAAATGAAATGCTCTGTTATTGTGTTATAAAAGCTTATAGCTGCCGTGGTGGACTTTGATTATGTTCCACTTTCTTACTTGTATTTTTTGAATGCTCAATTTAAATATATTATCGATACAAGTACTTGAAACTCAAGAACCCCAGTTCAAGCTGTTCGGTTAGTGAAATTGCTACGATCTTGTATGCTATTGTGCTGATTGAACCATTCATAACAGGGAAAACTCTGCTCCAAGCAACAGAAGCTTGCTTGATTGTGCTAATTATCAAGGAATTCTACTGAATTTTTCTATTATTTGCAGCTTCAAAACCCTAGAATGGATATAGAATCCAGGGAGGAGCTGCTGCATGCAACTCGCTTGCTCGTTACCGATGATCCATGCAGTGGGCAGTTTGTATTTGGTCGTCAGGAGCTTAAGCCCAAAAAAATGAAAAATCTACTTGCAACAAGTTTGGGAGAAGGTGGTGGCGGTGGCGGTGGCGATAATCCCAAGAGCCAACTTCAGACGTTGCTTACAAGAGCTGGGCATGACAACCCAACCTACAAAATGAAGCAGTTGAAGGGCAATCAGTTTAGAGCAACGGTTGAGTTCAATGGGATGCAATTCATCAGCCAGCCCTGTGGAAACAAAAAACTAGCGGAGAAAAATGCTGCTTCTGAGGCATTGGATTGGCTGATAGGTGGAGCCTCATCAGACTTTCGGGACTTTGATCAAATGTCCATGGCCCTTAAGAAGAGCAAGAAGCAGCATCATAGGAGAACATGAATCTGGAACCGGAATATGTAACTGCCTTCTCATGCCATTGTTGCCTGTGAAAGCATTGTCCGGTGATGCAATCTGGTCCACCTCCACTGCACTTAATGGAGATTGAAGCCCTCATAGACTTTGTGGAAGGCTGTCATGATTTTTCCTGTCCCGGTCTCATGATGATCAGCTATATATTATAAAGTCAGATCATGTTGTCAGGTGAGCCTTACTGTATTCTTCTGGTTCAGTGTCTATTCGTTGAATACTAACCTATATAAGTAAATTATATTTATAGAAATATTTAAATTGGTAAGTTTTGTATAATATAGCATCTAACTTCACCATTTAAGTTTTTTATATTTTTTTGTCGCTATTTATTTGACATGGATCACATGATTGAGTTGAAAGAAGTTTTAGATGAAAAATGATGCCATTATTTCCTCTGCAGTGTTATGAGTAGTAAGGATATTTGCTGCTGAATCTTGGCATTATTCCTTAAATATTTTTGCTCAAAATATGCTACTAAAGATGAGATCCATGATATATATATATATATATATATATATAAAGACGAGGGGCTATGATCGGAGCCCCTAGCCAATCTCATGTGTCTAACCACTCGACTGATCCATACACCAGTGGGATAGAACTTTTTACCCCAGGGGACTTGAAACTGACATAGCAGATGCCAACGAAATAGTCGGGGAATGCTGTGTGTGTGTGTGTGTGTGTGTGTGAGAGAGAGAGAGAGAGAGAGAGAGGGAAATTATATTAGGAAATAATTTATTTCTGTGAGAAATAATGAGGAATAGTTTATTGCCTTTGATTTGATTTATTTTCTTTTTCATTTTAGGCTTTCCTATTTTATGTTGTTTCCTTCATCTCCAAAACAATTAATATGAATTGAGTAATTGAAGATATTAGGAGTTATCTTTACTTGTTATTTCTTTTTTATTGTTTTCCTAATCTAGGATTCATGTAATGGTTATTTATGCCCTCTTTTCATATCAATAAAAATATTCTGCATTATTATGTATTTCAACATAATATCGAAGCCAAATTTTGTATCATAGCCACCGGTCCTCCTTCTAGAACCACCAGACTCTTTGTCATCCTCAGTGCTGGATGGGAGGGACACTCGTTTTGGTATTTGAAACAATGATTTTTTCTTCCCGTCTCCCTACAGGCCTGGCCTGTCGGCTGGCCCTTCCCGAGCCGGGAGCTTCGACTCTGCCAGTTTCCAAAAAGCAAGCGGTCGGACTCCTTGCCATCTTTCGTATTGGAAGGAAGGGGCACTCGTTTTGGTATTTGAAACAATGATTTTTCCTTCTCCTCTCCCTGCAGGCTTGGCCTGTCGGCTGGCCCTTCTTGAACTTGGAGCTTCTACTCCGCCAGCCTCCAAAAAGCAAGCGGCAGTTTCACAGCAGTTTTTCTTCTTGCTGTTTTTCCTTCTGTATAGGTCTGTTCCGTGGAGAATGTTATGTTGTTTGCTTTCTAACAAATTTTTTTCCCATAAAGAGTTATTGCATATCTTCCGTGTAGATCTATAGCTGTCAGTTCCCATAGCTGTCGCTGTTTTTCACCTTAACCACCGTCGGTTCCCCTAGCTGTCGCCGTTTTTCACCTTAACTACCGTCGGTTCCCCTCTTCCTTACCGTTTTTCTAAAGGTTGCTACTGTTGATCCTTCGACTTATTTCCGCTGAAATGTCCATCCTTGGATTTCAACCTCAGACCTTAATGTCGTGAGACTGGAGCGTATCTAGAGTGCTGATGTCCTTGAGATCTTCATCAAGGGTATATCGCGCGGGAAACCACTCGTGTATTACTGCCGCCCTCTCACCGGCAGCCTCTCCCAGCAAGATTTTTATCAATCCTCTGTCGGTCGGCTCTCCCTCTTGCCTACAACCCTTCTTTGATGAGTTGTGTACAAATGACTTCTCTGTTGTCCCTCCTAACCGCAGGACTTTCTCGCTTTTTCTCCCCTCATGATCTTCCCGCCTGTTTTTAACCGGAGAAATTTCCAGTAGGAAATAAAACAGTTCTTTTCTGTTTTTCTTCCCTGTCACAGGAAACAACACAGCATTTTCCTTGAAATCCTGTGTTGTTTCCTGCGTTTCCTACTGTTCTTCCACAAAAATCTAGTGTCGGTCCTGCAACCTGATCTGTACTGGCCCTTTTTTCTGATATAATGTTTCCTTTTGTGCACAGGCGTCGGGGGGAGCTACGTTTTCAGCGGCCCTTTCTTTTGTAACTTTCTCTATCAACAGAATTTCGTGAGTGTGATTTGCTCTTTCTCTCTCTTGTGGAAGTCCCAATCGGAGAGCTGCCAGCGATGTTCGGAGAGTGCGACTTTCTCTCTCCAATGCACTCCCAATCGAAGAGAAGAAGTTATTTTCTCAGACATGTCTTCGCAGTGAAGGTGGACAAAGGGAGGAGCTATTTTTGTTGTTTTTTCCTTCTGCAGGTTTCAATTATTATTAGTTCCTGCAGAAAGTTGCGGTTGCAGCCGCCTCTGTGGAGTCTTTTGTCATTTCACATGCTTGGATTATGGAAACAAAGGGAAGCTTGTTATAGAGGAATTCAATGTTAGTTTCCTTGCAAAATGACTCGAAAAAGGCTATTACAGAGGTGAGACTGAATGTATCCTTAAATAGAATTTCTGCAGCCAACCTATGTTCCCTTCTGCATCTGTTTCTTCACTGTTGTCAGAAATCTCCATGCAGGTCCTTCTCTATACTTTCTTTGCCACCAAAACTCTCCCTGCAGCCTTCTTCTTTGGAACTCTCTTGTCCAGCAACAACAATGACAACCAATTCTCTCCCTGCAAGCTGCAACCCTTTTTCTCTGCTGTCTGAAATCTTATATGTCAGCAACATGCTGTGCAAAGGACAATATTCTATTACAGGTCCTCACTGTAGACCTTTTCTTGCAGTAGACCCTCCTTTGGAGCTTTTATCTATTTTTTTCCGTAGGCTTTATTATCCTGTACCTTTTATCTTTTTTTTATCTTTTTTTTTTTGTATTCAATGACAACTGTAGTCAACTAGAAGTCAGTTTTTTCTGCAGGTTGTCTACTTCTCTGCAAACTCCCCTGCAACATTAATTGTAAGAGTCTTTCACCTTCCTACAAACACTGTAGAAATTGCAGTCAAAGACAATCACAATTGTTTACTTCCTTGCAGTCTTCTTTACAACATTACTTATATGAGCCTTTTGTCTGCCTTCAGACACTGCAAGAATTGCAGTCAAAGACAATCACAGTATGAGATGAAGACTTTAAGTTCTATCTCAGAGGATCTTCCTTGCACATTGTTTGATATTTTTTAATCCAAGTTGAATATGATTTTCGACCATGTTTCAGCTTGAGGCGTGAGATACGTGAGTTTGAATGTAGCCAAAATTTTGGAGTCGCGTGGTATGTCAATTTTGTAGGTATTGTCATTGAGCTTCTTAGTTATGAGGAAAGGTCCGTCGGCTCGGGGTTTGAGTTTTCCATGTGCTTCTACGGGAAATCGCTCTTTCTTAAGGCGGATCCACACATCATCATTTAAAATCGTGAACAAACTCGTTAAGAAGCTCGATGATCAGATTCATTGAAAGTTTATGAACAAGCTCACTAATAAGCTTAATTAAAGCTCGATTTAGTGTTTGTGAATAATATTGGTTAAAACTTAATTTATATCTTGTTAATAAACTTAATTAAGGTTTGATATAAAACTCATATATATTAAATTAAATTAAAATTTTAATTAATAATACTTTAAATATAATAAAGCTTTGTTTGTTTAGTTCTTCGTTTATTTTACATGTTTTGTATGCTTACTCTAATTATTCATATAGTAATAGTAACTCATTTATTTAAAAGCTCTTTTATTTTGTAATTTCAACAACTCTTTTAGAAGATCAATAAAACTTGTTTGATTAGAAAATAATTAGTTCAATCATACTATTGATTTGTTAGTTCGATAAGATTCATTTGAAAAAATAGTTTGATAGCACTAATTTTAATTTGCTTTATAAAGTTCTTTTAGTTAGTGTTGCATTTTAAGTATCTCTTATTAGTATTTACTTTTTTTAGTATCTTCTATTATTAGTATGTTACAATTCTTATTTCTTTGTTTTATCATGAGTAGTTATGACTGATTTTATTGTTTCATATTATGAGATTCTTTCTCTATTTAAACTTGTAATCATTTTCTATAAATTGTTCAGGAATTATAATTTTTTCTTCTCCAAAACTTACAACGTATCAAAGCTTTTAAATGATGACCGAAAGTGCTCTAGGCGAAGATTGAACCTTCATTGATTGATTGAGCGCAAAGTTATTGTTCCTGTATCTATTCTGTGCGAAGCTGCTTGCACCTTCCCACGTGACGATGCTTCTCCTTTGAAGTCGTGTTGTTCCTTCATTTCTTCCTCACGAAGCCGTTGTTCCCACGTGACGATGTGTCTTTTCCTTTTGAAGCCATTTGTGCATGGAAGCATCATTCGAAGGATCATCTAATTTCTCCATCACTACGAAACTCGCAATCGAAGCAGCTGATTGTGTGACTCGTTCAAAGACACTGTCTTATCCCTTTGAAGTCATTGTTACGTACTTCATATTCGAAGAGGTTGTATTCTCCTCGACAGAACTCAATAGTGGAAGAGGAAGCTAACACTAGCTGGTCGTACAACTTCTCCGTAGATGTTGTTGTTTCTTCATAGCTATATGAACTTACAACATGTTCTCGCATGACATTGTATAAGTCAATGATGACGACTGAAGTCCAAGAAATTCAGCACTTCTACTGGCTCCAGTAATTCTGTAACCACTTCGTCTCACCCTACTGCCCCTTTCATGACTGCATCTTGAGCACTACTCACAAAATCTAGCAACTTAACTCACGGTTATTAAACTTACAACTATCTCAAGTGGGCTCAATCCATAAAATTGGCGATAGGCAAAAGAGAGAAAATTGATCGAAGAAACTTCAAAGCCTATTGCTGGCGATCCAAACTAAAACGATGACAGTCCAAAAAATTCTCTGGTTAAGATATGGCTCATCAACTCATTGGAACTTATGATAGGAGAGCAACATTTATTCCTTCCAACTGCTTGAGATATTTGGGGTTGTTCAAGATATCTATTCAAGCTAGGAGAATTCTTGCCAAATTTATGAGTTGAAAACTCAACTTTTGAAATCAAACAAAATGACCGTGATGTTACTACATATTACAACGAGTTGGTAGCATTATGACAGAAATTTGATCAAGGTTGTGATGATATTTGGAAGAATTTAAATGATTATGTTCGCCACAGGGAGAGGAAAATAACGGAGTCTACATATTCTTAGCCAACTTTAATTGGAATTTTGACGAGGTTCAAGGAGACATACTTGGTAGAAAACCCCAACCCTCTATTCGAGAAGTATTTTATGAAATTAGATGGGAAGGGTCAAGAAAAAAAATTATGTTGTGCAACATTGAATCTTCTTGTAACACTGAATAGGAAAACTCAGCTTTTATGTCAAAGGGGGTAGATATTGACAAAGAAGGGTGTAAGAAAACATGATGCAAGCATTGCAAAAAATCATTACACACGAAAGAGATATTAAAAGCTTGATGTTAAACCTGCAAATTGGAAATCAAAATCTAAACGAGAAAGTTGAGCTTATCAAGCAACTACTGAAGAAACTCAGGAGCCCCCTTGAATGTAGTTCCTTGCGCCAAGGAACAATTAGAGCCCTTGTACAAACTGTTTTAATCTCCAAAATTGTCTCTGGCTCCATCGTGCTTCTTAGTGCAGAAAGGTAACTCTTTAGCCACTGCTTTGTTAGGTAAATTCCAAAATTTTAAATTCTATTTTTATTTCTAAAGGCAATGAAATTATGTTATGTTATCATAGATTAATTCATCCTAGTTTTTCAATAGCTAAAATAATTGTTCCCCAAATTATTTCAGAATAAAAATTTGACTTTTCCAGCATGAAGTGTGTTAGTTTGCTAAACATCATTGCGCATCAATTTTTTTCATAAATATACAAGCCTACTATACTATTTACTTTAATACATAGCGATATTTAGGGTCCTTGTAAAACCATTACACATTCTTGGATAAGATTGTTACTTTCAGCGATGATCATATTCGATTAAGTTGAGTTTATATAATGAAAAAAAATTAAAGTGGAAATTTTATTATAAAACTTTTACACCATTGTTCATACCAAATGTAAAAAAAAAAAAATCATTTAAATATTATGAAGTGATAATGACTGTGAGTATTTCAAAAACATTTTGTATTAATTTTTTCTAAAAAATGGAATAATTCATTAAAGCTCATGTGTCGACACTCTATAACAAAATTGCAAGGCGAAAAGAAAAAACAAGTACTTATTGGAGGTAGCTCGAGCATTGTTTTTTACCAATCAGGTGCCTAAGAATCTTTGGGGTGAGCCGTTCTTACTGTTATATTTCTCATAAATAGAACACCTAATAAGGTTTTAAACTTAAAATACATTTTGATTTTTATTATTTTTTTTTTCAAAGAATATGATTTTGTCTTCTTTCTCTAAAGATATTTGGGTGTATTGTTTTCGTTCACATTTATCATTAAAGAAAACCTGAACCCTGAGCTAAAAAAAATGTGTTTGTTGGTTATGCTCTAACAAAAAGGAGTATAAATGTTTTAATTCCATTGCTAGAAAAATGTTTGTCATCATGGACATCATCTTTTTTGTACTTCAACCCTTTTTTCACCCATCACCAAGGGAGAGAACAAAAGAAAGATTTGTCTGCTAAGTTTTAGGATTTTTGTCAAACCAAAGTCTCCCAAAATAGATATCCCCAATATTGAGTGTTCAAATTGAAAAACCAAGCAAAATCATTTCAGGAGAAGTGCATCTAATCTTTTAGATATTGAAATTCCCATAAAGTCATCTCATGAAAATCATAACAGAGAAGACACAAAAAAGAACTACAACAGTTGTACAATTTGATTTTGTCTATTCGCGATTGAGTACAACTCAAAAGAAAGAATTTATAATTCCTTCGTTCTCCCTAGAATTCATGAACCCGCCAGTTAATGCCCTTACTAATCATTTGCCCCATATTCAAACCACTTCATGTTCAAGTTATATGTCTTCTAGTTTTGAATTTGAGCTCAATTCGAATACTAAGTCTAATATGTCTAGTCTTTGCCTTTGGGAAATGTCTCTCGCTAACATTCATTTACCACTATGTTTCATATGAAAATCTCTCACACATTTTTTGTGCTTTTAAATAATTATTATCATGTATGAAAATCCCTAGTAATGTGTAGGATGCACTGAAAGGCCCGAAGTGGAAGGCAACTGTTTTCGAAGAGAGAAAAGATCTTGAAAAAAATGACACGTGAAAATTTCTACCTAGAGGGAACCATCGATTGGTATAATTCTGATAATCAAGTATAATTTTGATGGTTCTCTTGAATGGTACAAGACTCGATTGATCGCCAAGGGCTTTATTTGGACCTATGACATTGATTATTTATAGACATTTGCTCTAATTGTAAATCTCAACACTGAAAGGGTTCTTTTATTACTTGCAGCTAATCTTGACCGACCCCTGCAACAGTTGGATATAAATAATGTTTTTCGCAGTGGGGACTTGGAGAAAGAAATGTATAAAGATGCATCTTCGAGATTTAGTGAGAAGTTTGACACAAATGTGTATAAACTAAAACGATTCTTATACAACTTGAAGCAGTTATCGAGAGCATGGTTTGTAAAATTTTCACTATTTTTTAAATGTATGGGTTATTCTCAAGGGTGACAAGGAGATCATATAATGTTATTAAGAAATTCAAATGAAGGGAAAATAGTCATATTGATTGTGCATATAGATGTTATTCTCACAAGAAATGATGTATATAAGATGAACTTTTTGAAGAATTCCCTATCATATATTTTTGAGGCCATGAACTTAGGCTCTCTGAGGTATTTTTTTGGCATGGAGATTTCTCGTTCGAAGAAAGAATTGTTCTCCAAGTGAAAATGTTGTTGATCTTCTAAGGAAATTAGGATGGGTAGGTGTAAAACTACAAACACTCTTATTGATCCAAATCAGAAACATGGAGAGAGAAAGGTAGTTGACCCAATGAATACATTTAGGTATCAAAAATTGGTGGGGAAGTTGATATACTTATTACATACACAACCAAATATTACCTTTGTTATGAGTTTTGCAAGTCAATTTATGCATTCTCCCTATGAGAAACACCTTTTAAGTAGTCAACAGAATTCTCAGATATTTAAAAAACATACAAGGTAAAGGCTTACTCTTTCAGAAGACTACACAAAAGAACATAAAGATGTACATTGACGCAAATTGGCCAAACTCAGTTGTTGACAAGTGATCAACTTCTGGATGTTGCACATGTGTGGGGAAACCTGGTTACATGGCGAAGTAAGAAATCGAATGTGGTTGCAAGGAGTAGTGCTGATCCATAATATAGGGCTAAAAACTAATGGAGTTTGTGAAATGTTGTGGCTAAAAAGAATTCTTGAAGAGTTGCAGATCCTGATAAACATGCCAATGAAGTTATACTGTGACAATAAAGCAGTCATAAGCATTGCAAGAATCCTCTGCAACATGATTGTACAAAGCATGTGGAGATTGATAGACCCTTCTTAAAAGAGAAGATTGATTGTGGAGCTATTTGCATTCCATTTATCTATTGGTCTACAAATAGCGGACATCTTCATCAAAGGATTGTTCAGACTTAATATTGAGCTTATTATAAGCAAATTGGGCATGATAGATATCTATTCTCCAACTTGAGAGGGGTGTTGGATTTTTAGTGTATTTTATTATTAGTATTTACTATATTTTGCGTCTTCTATTATTAGTATGTCATGATTCTTATTTCCTTCTTATTATGGGGAGTTGTGATTGTTATTGTTGTTTTTTTAATTTGGGAGCCATCCTCCTTTTGTTTATACTTGTAATCTTTTTCTATGAAATTGAAGAGGAATATTAATTCTCTTATCTAAAACTTATAGTTAGCAATAAAATAGTCTAACAAGATAACTCGTTAATTTTTTCGATAATGACTTGATTATCATCATATGACACAAACATGAACCAGGTTGAAACATTTAGAATGACAAACAAACCAGACGTTAATAAAACACAAATACTCTATTTGAGCTCGAGCTCGGCTTGAATTTCATAAACAAGCTTAAATTTGAACTCAACGGCTTGACTTGGTTTGTTTGCAGCCCTATATATTATTAGATAAAAAATGTAATAATAATAATAGTAATAATAATAATATTATTAAAAGGGCATTTACATACATATCACCCAATCTTATATATTTACAAATCTAACACAAACTTTATTTTTTTTTCTTGCACCACTCAAATCTTTTATATCACACAGAATATATCATTAACTTCTACCAAGTGAAATACATATTGTCATGTTTGATGAGAGAGAGATATATTTATATATATTTAAGTGCTAAATGTGTAAATACATAGAAATTGAATGGAATTTAAAAAGGAAAAAAAAAAAAAACTATTGAACCCTGCCGCACGTGTAAAATCCCAGCCAGGCACCCCCACCCCCATCAATAATCACTCACTTTCTTCTCCAGCTGGTCTCTGTGGACCATAAAAGCTCATTATTTCCCAGAAGCACTCGGAACTCTCCTCTCTTTTTTTCTACAGTACAGCTAAAGACTTAACTCCATTATTAAGCTTCTGTGGTCTCCAGTGAAAAACTCAGCCCCCACGTGACATTTTTGCCTTTTTCGAAGGTGATAAATGAAAAAGTAGCTCATTTAACAGCTGTGCTTTGTCTCAGGTACCACCCCACCAGCTTGGTCTGTTGGATGGTCTATTTGTTTGGTGGCCATCATCGCATTGTTCAGAGGTATTCAGTTTGGCCTTTCTTAGCTCACTGTTTGTTTCCCTTCTGCTCTCACCTCCCACTGCTGCTTCTTAAATGGCTTTGTTTGATCAACACCATGCATTATTTTGGCTCTGGATTTGATTCAGAGATTGTGAAAAAGTTCAAATTGAGCTGATTTGGATTGAATTCTGGCTTGAATTTAGATCAGATTGGAGTTCATGAGTTGGATTTGTCTTGCTTTTGATCTGATTTGCTCGACTTGAGTTCATCTTAAGCTTTGATTAGATCGGGTTGGGTTCGGATTGTTAGTAAGGTGCAGCTTTTGAATATCTGTAGTTTTAGATATTTACATACATACCAAACTATTGTTACATATTTATATATCTATTGCTTTAAATTTTATATTTACATGTGTACACGAATCTTTAACGTCACCGAAAAAATATCACTCTTACTAATTTTTATGATGCCGAAGTGTTTAAATGTAAATATCAAACATTAGGTGTTGTCTAAGTAAATACATAAGAGTTGTAAGGTGTGAACTCATCAAGGGTGGTTGATTTGGTTGATTGGACTATAAAATATTATTTTTGCATCTTAAACCCTAATTGGAACTAGTTTGAAATCAATATTTAATTAAAATATTACAAATTTTGTCGAAGTTCTCATAAAATAATCATATTTACACTTTAATAAAAACATTATTTTATGAAACGTCAAGTAATATATAGTGCTAATATAAATTTGGAATTTAGTTATCTAATGAATCTTCAGCATTATAAGCCTTAAGTTGAGTTTACTTAATTATGAACGACGGTTAAGTTGACCCGTGGTGGAGGAGCCTACAAGGCGTGGCTTGTGTTGGGATGTCGGGTGTCCGAATCAAGCACTAATTTTTTTTTTATTATTATTATTTTAATTTATTATTATTATTTAGGGTCTATTTGGGGGCAGCTAGAGCTTATTGAATAATTTGTTGATAATCTAAATGCGGTGGTTATTACAAATTTTTATTTTTATTTTGGAAAAGTCAGACCACTTCCAGAAAGTTGTCACCGCACATAGATGCTGTGTGAAAATACTGATTTTAGCTTTTCAAGACGCATAAGCTGTCAAAATGTAGTTTATTCAAACAGTCCATGTATGTTTTTAAAATGTCATCTTACCAAATAAATTGCCCCAAACGGACCCTTAATTGTGAACTCAAAAAATTAAGTGGAATATTTTAAAGATAGTATTAAAAGTTATAGTGAAATAAAAGTATTTTAATTAATTAAAGATAATATTAAATAAATTATTTTAGACAGTAAATAAAGAACTAAATAAAAAAAAAAATCATAGAATGACTACTCCATCATAATCAATTTTCACAAAGCTAAATATGCAATATGTGAAGTCTTTTTTTGATTTATCTCTTGAAATTTAATTAAAATAAAACAATGATTAAAAAAACAAAATTAGATACATAAAAATAAATAATAAAATAGAAATTACTCAAGTCACCATCAAACATGTTTGGGAGCCTCAAATAACCAATAGTAGTGATTTAGGGTAGAAAGTGAATGGCCCGTAGTTAAATAACTTAAATAAATATAGTAATATAACCTAATAATTTAAATAAATTAACATAATTTTAAAAATCTTTTACAAATTCATTAAACTCCAAAATCAATCTCTAAATAGAAGTAGAATATTGAAAATAACTTCAAATCATTTTAATTAAAAATAAAATTTAAATAATTAAATGATTCAATAAATTCAATAAATTATATTAAATTCATTTGAAGTAAAATTTTTGACTTTTTTAATGTATATTTAAGATGTTATTCCAAATATTATTGTACTTTTTTTTTAAGCTTAGGGGTTTATTAAAATAAAAAAAAATAAAAATAAAAAGGATGATTCAAAATTAATAAAAATTCATATCAAATATATCTTAAATCCATCATGATCTCTCAAATTAATTTCAAAAAGTTTTGAACACATTTAAATTAAAATATTCATACGATTTGAAAAATATAAAATTAATCAATTTTTTAGTAATAAATAAACTCTTTAAAATTATTAAATATACAACAACAACAACAACAACATAGAAGATTTAATAACTATTAAATATAGAAAAAAAATTTTAATTTATATTATCTTACGAGATTTTAAATCAAATTGTTAGACGATTTTGATCTTTTTATAAGGCAAATATTCTTTAAATTCAGATATTTGATTCTTAAACAAATATATGTATTTAAGAAACTATTTAATTATTAAAACCAATAATTAATATGAATATATCAAATTTTAATGAATCGTCGTATGAAATTAAATACTTATGTGAGATCACCCCTTTGTAAAATTTGAACTTTTAAATCAAATCAAAATTTGAAATACAAAGCCTAGCTTGTCAGCTCACCGCATAGGCCACACATATATTAGATTCTTTTATTAGATCATCGACTCTAGACTGAATGTTTGGGTCGGCTTGTGTTTTAGATGGGATATTAGAGTGACTATCTTAGTAGTTCTAATACTTATTTTCTATAGGAGGCTATGCTTAGTGGGGTGATCACCAAAAAAATTATATAAACTACTATGTTTTTTTTTTGGAAGTTCTAAAATAATGTCCTTAAGCACTATCTAGTAAGAAAAGAGACTCGAAATTGTGGTGCTAGGTTCATTATTATCATTATTATTATTATTATTATTATTATTATTATTATTATTATTATTATTATTATTATTATGTGATTATTGTGCTTATGATGTACTTCTTTTGTTCTTACCTTTCTCTAGCAAAGGCTATAGTAAACATAGGATTTAGTTTTCTATAATCAAGTTTGTAAATAGAGCTAGGTAAGTCTATCAGTTCTTTGGTTGTCTATGGTATATGATTAATCTGACGTTGGATCCACTTGACGATGAAGCTTAAGGAAGAAACTTAACGCAAAGCAAGGATGAAACTCAACTTCAAATAAAGGATGAACCTCTACTTAAAAGTGAGGATGAACTTCAAGTCAAGTCAAAGACCAAGCTCAACTTAACTCAAGGATGAATGTCAACTCAAAGTGAGGATGAACCTCGACACAATGAAAATGATGAACCCAACTCAAAAGTGAGGATGACCTCAACTCAACTCAAAGATAAATATCAACCAAAAGGGACGATGAACCTCAACTCAAAGCGAGGATGAACCATAGTTTAAGGATGAGTATCAAAAGAAAAAAAATGAACATAAAATAGAAGGATGGATCATAAGTGAACTTGAATTTGAACCAAAAACAATGACAAATCTCAAACATCACCCAAAATGAGATACTAAATAATTTAGAAGAACCACAAAGATTTAGAATGAACAAATCTGAGCCTGAATGTACACTCAACATGGTTTATTCCAAGCGAAATTATATGAAGATTGTAGAACTTAAAAGGAAGATCTGAAGGCTCTAATAGCCTAGCTAGTCAGTCTATTTATTTTACGTCTATTTCATACCATATAAGGGGCAGATGTTTGGTCGTCCCACTCTTTTATTTCTTTCTTATGTAGTGTATATTGGTACTAAACCACACCAACTATTATTTAGTTTTTCTTAAGTCATTTTGGCTAAACTATTTTGGTTGATTCTTGTTGCTTAATTGTGTTTACTTTCCTAAGTTTGCACGAACAAAAGTACGTGATTATTTTAAGTTTGCTATCAATGTGCTTGGCCTGCATGTCTTTGTGATATTGGGATAACTTTTGCATGTTGCCTAATAATTCACATAAAATTTTCAAAATTAAACTTAAAATAAACATATTAAAAATAAAGAATAAAAATAAAAACATCCCAAGCATTGCATGGCACATAAACAATAATTAAAACTAAATAGAACTAATAAGGACCAACTTCTAGCCCCGACAAGTAGATCACATACATCAACTAGCTTTTCCTTCATATTTTCAGGCTCTTACCCATTGCACTGAAAGGGAGAATAAAAAAAATAGGGATCATCACCCTTATAAGGAGAAATCTATGTTTTGAATTTGTCTTGAACTATAATAAAGTTTCACACATACATAATGATTGAATATTGACCTCAGCTCATGGTAAAAAAAGGAGACGAAGTCCCCATCAAAATCGGTTTTTATAAAAAATCAAATCTCTCTCGAATGAGATGGTCGTTCAATCATTATTCTTGGTAGCCCGAAGATGAATCAAATCCTCGAAGACACTTCTGACATCCATTTTTGATGCATCACAAGCAAAACATCCTTTCTGAGTGATATAGGACGATATTAGGATCATACGCCGCATACTGTGAGTCAAGGAGTCCATAGGACCGTTAAGTGAACCCTTCGGGCGTAATAATTTGAGCCTACACCGCCAAAGTTGTGCTCTAAGACAATCATCACCAGGTTAGCATCACTTTAGGTGTCCTCCAGGTAGACGTTTGTTTCTACATCATGGGAGGTTGTATCTCGCCGATACAGACGCTCTCACAATGCAGATCATCAACAAGATTATTCCATATGTGTTTATGCCCTAATCTTATGGATATGAACCGACAAATTTCATTCCATTATGGTTTTTACCCAATGGCATATATATGGAAAGTCTTCTCGAGCTCCGGGTACTCATTTATGACTTATATAGATGCTCAAGGATCATGTCCTAGTCCTCCAAAGTTCCCACGAGACTAAAAACTTCTTGAAGAACTATTCTGAAAGCTCAACTTATGTGGGGGCTAGCGTGACCACGCATAAATTGGGTGTGGCCTCTCCCAAACCATGGCGTAACCACACCTAAAACCTCTGTAACCATGGCAAATCTACTTCAAGAGCTCAAAATTCCTACAATCGATGTGACCATGTTGACCTAACAGAGCCCCCGATGTAATTATGTTGGGGTGCGGGCTTGACTACGCCTAAATCCAGGCGAGGTTATGATCTCGTTACTACTTATTTGCAACAGTATAACAATGTCTTTGATGATATTTTTCACTTATTTTTCCTTACTTTGTAACATAACCAAAAACTTGATCCTGGATAAAAATATATATATTGGGATACTACGCAAGTATATGTATCGTTATCAAGTAATATAAGACTTTTTGATTAAGATTTGAATATCAAACCCAAAGGGAAAATAAGCAATATACACTATTTATCAACAAACCTTCTATTTTAAAATGACAATTATTTAAACTATAGATATTTTCACAATAGGTAAAATATTTTCACAAACTATAGATATTTTCACAATAGGTAAAATTCAATTCTTTTTGATATTTTTGATATTTTGACAAAACAATAAACCTTCTAAAGATAACTTAAGTTTATGTAAAAGTAAAGCACTTGATATGAAAATATTTTTCTCC